CCTTTAACACTAAAGTTACAACTGTATCCAGTGGCTTGCTCAGATTTTGATCAATATATTGTATAATCTAACTAAAATTGTTTAACCAACTAGATTGGTTGTTTTTCCAACCAATCTATTCTTAGAATCTATCCAAACTATCCACCTGACAGCAGCTCTCCTACAAACTCCCACATCTTGACTGAATACTGAGGCTGTTTAAATGCCGGTTGTGCTTTGTGGAGTACATGATGGCTAGTTGAGGATGTTGGTTTTTACAGCAGTGCTGTTGCCCCCCCTCCCTGCTGCGGCTGCAGGTGGATCAGCGTCTCACCGGCTCACAGTGGTAGTTTTCATATCAGGGGAAACATAAGAATGGCGCCTGTATTTTTAAATCCAAAGGAAACACAGACAGCTGGGATGTTTGGGGCTGGAGCTACGTTACCTGATGGGAACAACCCTGGCTCCAGCACTCTCCAGGAATTTGATGTAGGAAGCAGCAATGTAGGAGGAACCACGAGCAAAGCGGTCCTCAGGAAGGTTTTCTTGTGCTAAAACACCTGGAGAGGACACCATGAGACATGCAAATGCTGAGTCACTGTCCAAAAAAAAAAAAAAAAAAAGAGTCATCCTGAATCATCGTGCAGAAAGAATTTAATTACATCCTTTAAAACCACAGTAAAACAGAACAGGGACAGTTCTGGATTCAAACTGGCTTAGAAAAAGTTTGTAAATAGTTTTCCCCTTCATTGTGACATTAAGAGAATCAAACTTATTTTTATTAACTAAAGAATCACTAAGAAGTTTCTAATTTAATTTAATCGCTGCAATCATTTTAACACAGAGCAACACCATGACTTGCTGATGAGTTGCAATAATATCTGCATGTAGTTCCTCTGAGCAATGACACTGCTGACCACAATGACTGGGGGTTTAACTCGGCTCTGCTGCTTTACTGGACCTAAACTCAGGGGGGGGGTTTATCATTAGTCAATACTAGGCAGTTGCCTAGGGCCTTAAAGGAATAGTACACCCAAAACATGATTAGCCTTCGTTTTCTACTCACCCCCATGCTGAACAACACTCTGGAGTACTTTTTTGATATCTCAAATGCATCTGGAGATCTGGGAGGCTTCTTGCTGTCTGCTGACATTCAAATAATGGAGGTCTGCCGGCTTCCCTAGCGTCGTGA